TCTGCACTTGCAGAAGCAAGCCCACACTGGCCACCTTCTCCAGGCAGGTCCCCAGGTCTCCCACCCCCTGGCATGTCTTCTCTAGCCCTGTGGCAGAGGAGTGCAAGGGGACAGAGATGGGTCACAGGGTGATACCAAGGAGGGGACAGCAGGGAAAGACCCCCAGTCTGGTCTGAGCCCTGCCACCCAGCCCCGTCCTCGGGCATGAGCAACGTGGAGCAGGATGTAGGCAGGGTCTGGTACCCAGCAGGCTGCCTTGGCCACTGTGCTCCTGCCCGCAGCTGCCTGCCGGAGTAGTGCCCATGCAGAGCATGGCAGGGAGGGAGGCTGCAGGGGCTGGGCTGAGCCCATGGGCAGCTCTGCGGGCTGGCAGTTGCTGTGCCAAAGCACATCCTGCAAACACTGTTTTGCTGAGACCACTAGAACATTGTTACTATTATTTTGTTTACTCTTGAAAATCAGGATTGTCATGTCTGGCTGCAGGTTCCTGGCACACACAACTCTCTCCAAAATCACCCAGAAGCAGATGAAGAGCAAGATGCTCATTCATCTTGGAATAAACCTGCTGCTGCCTTTGCATTTTCTTCGGCCCATCACAGAGCCGAGAGGGTTATGAACAAGCCCAGAACGTTAGCCTGGCACCATGACCAGGATCACCTGTGCTGTGGCTGGGCTGGGGGCAATTCCCTCCTGGCCAGTGCTGGGAAGGAGCAGGTGTGTGTGTGTTGGGGGTTCAGCATGTGCAGACTCCTGCTCCAACCCAATGCCCTGCCTGCTCTGAGATGTGTGCAGGCAGGGCCCTGCCCTCAGCTTCCCCTGTGTGCCTCCTGTCTGCCACCCTGCAGCCAGGTTGAAAACAGGATGCCAGCCTGATTTTGGCTCCCACTGACTCATCTTGAAACTGTCAGCTAAAGCAACACCAGCAGCTCCTCTGTTCTGCCAAGCCTGGGCACCTGCCCTTGCTGGGATGTTTTCTGTCAAAGGAGGAAGTGGGCACATGCATGCCTTTACTGCGCCTGCACTGAGAGCTGTGCCCATGCCTAGGGTCTGGCCATGCCACTGTCCTGGTGAGGCCACCTGCCTGGTTGTTTCTTTGCTGGCATGGCTGCCTGGGCACACCCCTGTCTCCTAAGGCCCTTGCAAAGTGAAGAGAGAGGGGGAAACTGAGATAGAGGCAGGGAGGAGAGCCCTGAGGCATGTAGTGCTGTCCTCTAAGTGGATATGTACTTGCATTGCATGGCATGAAGAGAAGAGGGGAGTGAGGTCCCACTGTGCTCTTTGCCCCTAAACCACTCCATGGGGGCTCTTGGGGTGCTTGAGTAGCCCTGGAGGCTGCACCCCCCATTTCACTCTTGCTCCTCTCCATCCCTCTGGCTGCCCAGTTCCTGGGACAAGGACCACTCCCATGGGGCCCCTGCCAGCACTGTGCCCGCAGTGCTCTGCCAATGTGCTGGGGCGTAGCAGGGCTCTGCGGTTTCAGTGCCACCCTCAGAGACCTCTGAGGCCAACTGCAGTGCTGGGTTTGGGTATTTTTTCCTCCTCAGACTTATGTCCTGTTTCCTGTTATTTTTTCTCAACTCCCTTTCTGCATTTCTTCCCCTGTGTGATTGAGAGCCCTGATACTGGGCACTGCACAGCCCACAGGGCACTGCTCCCAGGCTGGCCTGCCTCAGTCTGATTCACTGCTGGCAGCACTCCCTGACAGCATTGCCCGTGCTCCTGTTCCCCAGTTCCCTGTGTGGCACAGGTGGCCATGCCACATTGGCCATGAGGTTTCCACCAGGGATGCAGGACACGACAGAGATGAAGGAGCTGTGTCCTGGAAGGCCTGGAAGGCTGCTGGAAGGCCACAGCCACATCAGCTGTCAGCCACGGTGCTACCCTAGGCAGGGTTTTAGAAGCCCCGGGGCAGGAATTTGCGGCTGGTGTGTGCAGGCACCCTCTCCCAGCAGCCCAGGGACATGCCCAGGGGTAGCTCAGGGGCAGAGACTGTGCCAGGCTGGAGCTGTCTTGTTCAAACCCAGGCTGGCAGCTGGGGTCTCTGCCAGCTCTGCCCAGTTGGGTGGAGAACAGCCAGCATCTGTGGACATGCCATGGACCATCAGGTAATGCCAGCAGCACCCAGAGAACTGCGGGTGGGTGGTTGCTGCCCTCTGCAGATGGATGCAAGAGCAGCCCTGTGAGAGGTGCTCAGGCTCCAGGTCCAAGGAGGGATGGGCAACCAGGTTCCCTGGGGCTGTGCTGCCCATTGTCCCACTGCTGTTGGTGTTTGGAGTCATGCCAAACAGAAGACTGGGGAAGCTCACCAAGACATGACCCAAGGCAGTGGAATGGAGGGAGGTGAGAGACCAGGTCATGGGCACTGCTCCATACCCCACAGCCCCACTAGTAACCCACACTACTGCCCCCTGCCCTGAGCTGAGCAGGGTGGGGTTTTATGAAGAGTGGGGTGAGGGACAAACCACTTGCAGTCTCTCAGGAAGAGTGAGAAGCTGGGTATATGCTCAGGGGGAAGGAGGGTGCATACATCCCTCCTTCCCCAGGGACCAACTAGAAGCCCCTGTTGGAGCAAAGGCCTCGTCCCTGGGCTGACCACTGTCTGAACCACAATGGCCTGTCTTGGTGCTGCTGGACACACCAAATACCACTGGGATTTTAAAGCAGGAGAAATGCTGGTCAGCCTGGTAGCATCCCAACATGGCAGCTCTGTGACTCCAGCCAGTGGAGAACGGTGAAAAGACACAGAACCAGCCCCGACATCCCCAACTTTGGCACCTTTCTATGCCACGGAGCTCAGGTGCCCGCCTCCCATGCTCCCTGGGGGCTGCCCCACTGCTGCCCTTCCAGAACAGCCAACCTCCACAGGGCACCTTGGCACCCAGTGCCCTTCCACCACCGTGTCTCCTGGGTGTCCCTTTGTCCTTGGTCACTGCCCAATGGCCCTGGGAGGTGACACCCACCTGACACAGATGCCATGCAAGGTTTTGCCCAGAAGTTTTCTGAATAATGGCACTTTGTGGCAGGACAACAGGAGCTTTTGTCATGCCCAGGCAGCTGCTCCAGAGCAGTGCCTGAAACACTGTCACCCTTAGCAACAAAACTTGGAGCTGGGGCAGCCAAGTCATTCACTGCTCTGGCTGCACTTAACCCTGACAGCAGCACAGAGACAAGATGGTTGAAGATAGCAACAACAGCAGACGGAGCAAGGGGGTACAGACGGCCAGGAGGGAGCTGGGTGGAGGCAGGGACAGGATAGAAATGAAACAAAACAGGGGAATGTAAAGAGAGAGGAAGGGAGGGATGGAAGGATAGATGGCTGGTTGTCTGTATGAAAGGAAGGAAGGAAGGAAGGAAGGAAGGAAGGAAGGAAGGAAGGAAGGAAGGAAGGAAGGAAGGAAGGAAGGAAGGAAGGAAGGAAGGAAGGAAGGAAGGAAGGAAGGAAGGAAGGAAGGAAGGAAGGGAGAGACGTCTGTCTGGTTGGTTGGATCAACAGGACAGTGAGGCGAGGGTCAGAGCTCGCCTGGTTCAGTACCTGCTGGTGTTGAGGACATCCTTCCCAGCCTCAGAGTCAGCTGGGATGGGGCAGAGCTTGCTGCAGGCAGGCTGGTCCCCTTCAAGAACAGATGTGGACAGCCCACCACTCCTTTTGCCCACACATTGGTTGGGCAGGAGCTGGGCAGCCAGCAGCCAGCTGGGCTGAGGGCAGCCAGCACACAGGGACACCAATGCCAGCCCCACATGCAGGCAGCCTGCGCAGCCAGCCCCTCCAGGCCATGGCTCATAGCAGGCCCGTCAGGGAAGCAGGTCACTGCTGTGTGACAAAAACAACCATCAGGAGAAGACTGCACCATGTAAACCCCTAAATAATCTTTCCCTCTCCACTGTACCAAGGAAGGTCATCGTCCTGAACGTTTCTTGGAGTGAGATGTGCACCATGGCTGCAAAGGGCTCACTGCCCCACCATGCACACCTGGTGATGGGCTCCCCTGAGGCAGGTCTGGCCTGGAGGAACAGTGCTGGAATGGTGCAAATTGTTGTGAGATTTGTAACCCCCACTCTCAAAACTGACATCAGGGCATTTTACAAGGGCTATTGAATGCCAGGACAGCAGCTCTACCACCCTTCCACTGCCCCACAGCTGTAAGAATGGAGATAAGCAGTGAGGTCCTGTGGACCAGTAAGTCTCACTGACAGAGCATCTTTTTGCCTAGGGCAGGAGTCCCCCTCCTGGCCAGGCCATACAGCATGGGCAAGCCTGGGGTGCTGTGGTCGGCTCTGCTCATGTCCTTCTGGGCCTTCTTGGCCATGCACCCAAGGGTGCCTTGGTTTCCTGAGAAGCAGAAACGATGAGCACGCACCCTTTGGCACAACCTGGCTTGCAAAGTGTTTGGATGTCCTTCCACAATCCTACCTCTGAGCCCAGCACAACTGCACCTGCTGCAGTGAGGGGCAGCCGGCTACCGATGGTTTTCTTGCTCCGCGGCAGCACAGTGGGCACCCACGAGTTTTGTGAACCGATGTGGGACCCACTCCCCAGGCCCTCCTTCCTACCAGGCGCTGGCCGGCACGCTCACCGCCGGCCTCACCCCCTCTCCTGCCCCGCAGGAGCTCAGATCCCTCTCACCCTGCAGCTGGGGTCTGCGGGCGCACCACTCGCCCTGCCCGGCCCGCCAGCCCCCCGCAGGCCTCTCGGCAGCGGCACAGCCACCCCGCTGTGGGGGGCCGCGGCGCTGAGGGGGCATCGGCGCTGCCTCGGCAAGCGGCCGGGCCCGCTCCGTGACGGCTCGGCCCGCCGGGGCCCGGGCCCCGCCGCCCTGGGCCGCAGCTCGACCTCTCCAGGCCGCGGCCCCGCCCCCCCCCCCCCGGGCCGGCAGGGATCTCGGGGCGGGCGCAGGGGGGCGCCCCCCGGACCCTCGCGGGGGACAGGCGGGGGCTGCGGCCCGGCGGTGCCTTTAAGGGGAGGCGGCGGCAGGCAGCCCCGGCACGGGGGCGGCGCTGCGCAGGGCCGGGCCGGGCCGGGCCGGGCCAGGCCGGGCAGGGCTGGGCCGGGCCGGGCCGGTCGAGCCGAGGACGGAAGCGGAGAGGGGCAGGGAGAGGGGCAGGGGCAGGGCCGCCCGCCCGCCCGCTCCCCGCGCAGCCGAGCCTGCTGCGGACAAAGGCGGCGGCCTGGGCATGGCGGTGGGCGGCGGGTGAGCTGCGGTGCCGAGCGGGGCGGAGCGGAGCGGAGCGGAGCCGGGGAGCGCCCTGCGGCGGGGCCGGCGCGGCGCGGCCATGGGGTTCCTGCACCAGCTCCATCTCCTGCTCTGGAAGAACGTGACGCTGAAGCGGCGCAGCCCGGTGAGCGTCGGCGAGGGCCTGGAGGGGCTGGGGGGGGTGCGGGGTGAGCGGCAGCCCCCGGCCAGAACCCGCCGGGGTCCCCGCGGCGGCTCCGCCCGGGCAGCCGGTGGGGGCCGGGTCGGCGCTGCGGGCGCCGGCATCGCCGGCTCTGCGGTCCTGGGAAAGCCGGGCTGGCCGAGCCCTGCCCGGGGGAGCGAGGCGACGCGGCCCCCTCCCGCTGCAGGCTCGGGGTGCGGGGCCGAGAGAGCCTCCTCCCCGCTGCAGGGCTGGGTCTTCGCCGTGCCCGTCCGGCCACCTGCGAGGGCGGGAGGGCAGCCCCGAGGGGCTGCGTGTGGGTGGGGGCTCGGCATCCCTGCGTGCCGTTGTGTGCGCTCTGGAGCCAGGCTGCCCGGGGCTTGGGGCTGCTTTTGACGCCTTTGCATGCCAGTCCTCTCTGTTCCCTTGCTGCAACCCTTTTCTTCCTGTCAGTTAGGCTGTGGAGATGAATAATGCATGTGGTGGTGGATGCAGAGATCTAGTGATGTCCGCTTGCCTTGCGGACCAGAAAGAGAAAGTGTGGATACTGTCTATTTATAAACCCATAGAGCAGCTGAAAAACACCCCTCCTTGCCCGGCTGCTGGCATCTCTGAGTGCTCTGGCACAGGCTGGGCAGCTCAGTGATGCACGTTTCGTAGCAGCAACAGTTAGGTCTCTTGCCTGTCTCTGCTCCCACTACGTGCCTGTGGGAGTCGTCCAAGCCCTTGGCAGCAGCAGGCACTGTGTATGAGTGCCTGCATGAGGGGTTCAGGGCTGCTGACTAGACTCTCTCCCCTCTGCCCAAATGTCCACCATATGCAGCTCCTTCCTCCCTACCTTGGACCTGTCTCAGGTTCCAGAAGCACTGGACATTTGCAAGCTCTGTTTCTGGTCCCAAGGGCCATGTCTCTGGTGTGGTAAAGCCTTCCCAAGTTCTCAGTGATGTCTGCATGCTATAAATAGGCTTTTAAATTGTATGTGGGTCAGGGATGTGTCTTCCTAGGGTGCTGGAGGGAGCTGCTCCTGCTTTTTGGTCATGAGGTTGTGAAATCTGGTCTGTCACAGATGTTTGCCTTTGCTCTGCCCCTTCCTCAGCTCCCAGAGAGGTGGCAGAGGAGGCAGGTTCCCACCTCCACCTGGTTGCTGGTGGAACTGGCTTGAACCCCCATGTTGTGCACATCCATACTGATGAGTGCATTTGTGTGTGCTGGGGTTGAGAAACTGGTTTAATCCTTCCTTGGCCTCTTCTGCCTGGTGCGTCTAGGGGAGGGCTGGCCTAATCCTGCCACGCAGATGGGGGTGTGATGGGGGGTGCTGGGGCAGCTTCTGCCACACAGAGTGCGGGTCTGTAGGGCCTGTGTATGTGGAGGGCTGGAGGTGAGGTGCTGGTGGGGAAGGGCTGCTGAAGGTCCTGGCCAAGGAGGAACCCCGAACCCCATCACGAAGGGTGTGGGCTGGCCGGGGGAGGGGTGTGCTGGGCATGGAGGGAGCTGGTTATTTTTAGAGGATGGGGGAGGGTAGCGAGCTGCTGCTCCCAAGCTGGTGATTCTCTTTCCTCTTCCCCCTCCCAAATATCCTGCAGGCCTGATCCTGTGTGTTCTCCTTTGCCAGCAGTGTGCGAGCCTTGGGCCCTACTTCATCCTGACACATGGAGTGCTGGAGACTCCTGGGGGCGTGCCAGGCCAGGGAGGGCATGGACAGGACCGGACGGAGGCTGTGCCATGGGCAAGTGCCCACCGGGGCAGCCCCTGCACAGTGGATGAGGGTGATGCTCTCGGCTGAGTCATCCCCACCCTGTGCACTGAGTGCAGCCAAATGATCGTGGCTGGGGACTGCCTCGTCCCTGTATGTCAAAGATCCCTGCCCACAAGGGCCAGCAGGCTGGCACAACTATGTTGGTTCTTGACAGCTGCCCCTGGCATCTGCTGGCCCTCAACAGCTGCCCTGGACCTGGCCACCAAGCCCGACAGGTTTACAGTCTGGGGCTGTGTGCATCTTTTGGGCACCCATTTCTCCATGCCTCCTCAGCTCTGCAGGCAGTGCAGGAGTGCAGTGCAGAAAGTTGCAGTATGGCTGCCAGCTCCCAGGCTGCTGGGCAGGCAAGGAGGAGGGTGAGGAGCCCAGGCCCAATCACCTCTGTGTGCAGGGACCATCATCTGAACAGGGCAGGGGAAGGGCTGGCACCGCCTTGCCCCCAGTGATGCCACATGAGGGTGCAGAACAGCAGCTCCATCCCAGAGAGAGAGCTGCCCCTAGCACAGAGCATGGTCAATGGCTGGATTTGGTGCAGCCCCTTGGATGTTTGTGTCCTGATGACACAGGTGCCTTGTGCGTGTCACCTGAGCTGATCTCTTGCTTCCTTGAACTCTTGCTGCATCTGAGTACTGTGGTCACCTCGAGCTCCCCTTGTGCATGAGGGCAACAGCCTGCCTGCTCCCAAGGCAGCTCTGTACCCTCCCAGCAGCTTGGGAGGAGAGCTGGCTGGTGCTGGCAAGCTAGGGCAGAGTCAGGTCTGTGCCAAAATCCAGCATCGTCAACCCAACCTATGTGGATCCCTGCAGCTTGCTCTGGGGGGGACGGGGGGAGGCACGCTGCCCTTACCCAGGCTCCATCCAGAGCTGGACATCTCGCCAAGGGAAACCAGCCCCTGAATCCCTTGGACTGACTCAGTGGTGCCAGGCAGAGGTTAGTGGACCAGACTGGGTTAATAAAGCATGGAGGAGCACAAGACCCTTCCCTGGCTTAAGTTCACCCTGGGGAGTCAGAGGTGGTGGTGGGATGGGAATGGGTGGGCTTCTGGTGCTGTCATGGAAGGAGTATGGTGCCTGGGCTGCCCTTGCTCTGCTGGCAGCTGAGTGTTGGTGTGGGGCACTGCACTGGAGTGCATGCCTCAAACCACAGTGTCCTTTCCTTCCTGGTAATGCCTGGACCGGAGCCCTGGGGCAGCAGGGCAGGGGACAGGGAGGGTTTATCTCCCAGGCAGATGCCTTGTGCTTGGCAGAGCCCGTTGCTGCAGGCACTGGGGCTCTGGGGCTCAGGATAGCTGGGGCCAGTCTCTTGCTCTGCCACTGAACTCTTTGTGGCCCTGAGAAAGTCGCCTTCATCGTGGCACCCAGACTTGGGGGCTGTGGCTAGGTTAGCACTCTAATGAGGTACAGCAGCAGTTTTGAAACAAACTTTTTCCTCAGGCTCTGCATTTTCTTAGAGCTCAGATTGTCCACTTGAGAATGTAGCAGTGGCAAATGCCAGCCCTGTGCAGGGTGGCTGTGCTATCAGGCAGCCGTGGGAGAGGGTCCTGACCCACTGTACAACATGTCACTGCCTTCTGTGACTCTGCTTCCCAGCCCTTCCCAGGGAGGGGCTTGCTTTGTCCTGGAATCTTGATCCTGCAGTGGTGGTGTCAGAAACCCTTGCTGTGGTCTTGAGACGTGGCAGTATGTGTGGGCTCAGCAGGGAGGCAGAGAAGCTGGGCCAATCACAGGATCCATGGCTACAAACAAAAGCAGTGGGGAAACAGGGCAGGAGCATACCAGAGCTCAACATCATTTCATCTTTGGAAAAAACTGACAAAGAGCAAGGACATCACCAGACAATCTTACCTACAGTACCTGTATTGCTAAGCTCCTGGGTGGTGGCTGAGTTGGGTACTGTACCTTGGCTGTGTTATAGTACCCATGTAAGGATTTGAGCCTTATCTGTGGGAGTATGACTGCCCAGAGTAGCTGATCTGTTCTAGGGGCTATTTGGGAGTTTGGTTATGATTTTTATTCTTCCTAGGGTAGAATTTGAGGCAGGAGCCCTGGCGCATTGGAGGTTTGAGCAGAACAGCATCACCTCAGGATGGAGTGAAGCCAGGGCTCCCCCTGTCCCAAGCACAGGCAGTTCTCGGGTGCAGATGCTCAGCAGTCCTGAATGGTGCAGGTTTGAGGATTTCTTTGCGCAAAGGAAAAATCCATGACCTATGGCACCTTGACTCTGCTGGGACTGGGGGTGAGCAGAGCTGTGTGTATCTTTAGGGATGGGCTCTCAGGTAACTGTCAATAGTTAATTAAACCTACACAGGATGTAAAGTGAACAGGTGAACTCTCAAGTTACCCCAGGCATCATGTGAGGGTAGAGCCAAGTGTGTTTGGCCATCTTTCCTGGTTGCTTTCGGTGCAAACATGTCTGGGACAGGAAAGCTTGTTGTCACTGGAGTTCCCAGCTTTGAAGTGCCAGTGATGGAAGGGTGCTGTTGTGTTTTATTTTGCATTTTATTTGAAAGTGCTGGCTGCGCAGGACTCTTTTGGAGGAATAGTAAAGAGCAGCTGAGACTCCAGGAGCTGCTTCTGTGCCTCACCCTGGCCATTTGGGACCTGCTGCAGCAATGCATGTACCAGGACACAGTGCACAGGCCTAGGGCCACAGCACCCAGTTCCTGACGAGGAGCTCCCAGAAGCTTCTTCCCAGCGCTAGATGAGAGCGGGGATCAGCCTTGGGCGGGGTTCGATCAGGCTGGGCTCTGCACTGACTCAGGATGCTCTTTGCCCCCCTCTTTGTTTGCAGCTGGTGCTGGGGAGGCGGGGGTGGCACGCACAGGCTGGGCTAGTGCTGGCGCAGCGCTGCCAGGCAGCATCCCCCTGAATCACCACCACAGCAGGAGGCTGCTCGTACACTGCTGCAGGGGTGGTGCAGGAACAGCATAGGGACAGTGTGGCCAGGCCTGGCCTGGCAAGGGCACCTGTTGCAGAGCGATTCACAGACACGGCATAAGCTGCTGCACTGCTCCTCCCCTGCAGCCAGGGCTGTGAGCGTGCGCAGGGCTCTGCCTCGCTCCACGGCCTCTCCCTTCCCACAAAGTAGAGAGGGGTGGCAGTGCCTTCCCCCATACTGGTGTGTGGTCATGGCCCTGCAGGCGCTGGCACCATCCAGCCTGTGCTGAGGCCAGGCACCTCTTGCCAGGGGGAAGGTGGATGTGTCCTGGGCTTGTATGGGTGTGTGGAAC